GCAATCCTCTTGCCTCAGTCTCCTGAGTAGTGAGGACTACAGGCTCTGGAACGATTTTGCCTCCAACTCCTCCCAGGGACATTTGGCAATGCCTGGAGATAATTTTGGTCATCACAATGAGGGTTCTTACTAACATGTAGTGTGCAGAGACCAGGGATGCTGCTAAATATCCTACAATACACAGGACAGCTACCCCCCCAAACGAAAAATTATCTCACCCAAAATGCCAACCATGCTCAGATTGAGAAATCTTGCTGTATAATAATTAAGTCAACCAAATCCCCTCATGATGGCCATTTGAGTTGTTTCTAAATATATTTTTTTCTCAGATGGGGACTTACTATGTTGCCCAGTCTCTCTCGAACTCTTGGGCTCAAGCGATCCTCCCACCTCAGCCTCCCAAGTAGCTGCGACTACAGGGGTTCACCACCATGCCAGGCTTCTAATATTTTGATGTATAAACAATGTTACAATGACAAGAGTATAAATTGTAGTTCTTAGTTGCAGATGACATAATCCACTTTAGTTAGTTTAAGCAGAAAGGGATTATGATAGGTGAAATAACCAAATTTCTGAGGGTGTCAAGAAGTCAAGGTTGCATGCTTCCCAGGCAGGAAGACATATGAGGTTAAGGGATCAATACCGCCATAGAATTTTTCTAGTGAAAATTCCAGTGCTGTCGCCTCCTGCCATTGACATTAATGATTCTAGGAACGTTATAATATAACCTCCACCAGAGCTACCTACCCCTGAAGAACCAAAGGCTTGGACTGCTATCTGGGCAGAACATCTAAACTTTCTACTCATGGTTGCTGCCTCCAGTCTTGGGGGGATGCAACTGCCTGACACAATCGGGCTGGAGACGATCAAGACACAGTCAATCAGGCAGCTCAGAGTGGACATACACATCTGGGAGCTGAAAGCATGATGTGGATGAGATTGTCCAGAGCCAGAGTTCTTCACCTGGACTCCCTGCAAGGGGTTTGAGGATAGCATTGAGGGGGTCACAAACTTGGAGAGGAAAAACATTGTATTTTTATTTTCACTAACCTTTAATTGACATTAAGCATTTTTCCTCAATCGCAGCATTATTAGCAGATCCTGGGTCTCTGATACCATCAGAAATCTCTGAGATTTCATATCACACATCACAGTTTTTGCAGGTATCTCAAAATATTTTTACATTCCACTCTACTTCAAAATTATGATAGTTATTAGACTTGACAGCAGATCTGTATATTTGATGAATTAGTATGTCATAAAGATGTTTTAAAAATATTTTGATGACTTTATTTCCATTTAATTAGTTTCCTTTGTATTCTTACAAAATTTGTTTTATGCATTTAAAAATACCATTCTACGGTGGCTCATCCCTGTAATAGTAGCACTCTGGGAGGCTGAGGCGGTGGATTGTTTGAGCTCAGGAGTTCGAGACCAGCCTGAGCAAGAGCAAGACTCCGTCTCTACTAAAAATAGAAAGAAATTAGCTGGACAACTAAAAATACATAGAAAAATTAGCTGGTCATGGCGGTGCATGCCTGTAGTCCCAGCTACTCAGGAGGCTCAGGCAGGAGGATTGCTTGAGCCCAGGAGTTTGAGGTTGCTGTGAGTTAGGTTGACACCGTGGCACTCTAGTCCAGGCAACAGAGCGAGACTCTGTCTCAAATAAAAAATAAAAATAAAAATAAAAATACCATTCTAAGAAGGGGTCCACAGAGTTCACCAGACTCTGGCACAAAAAGAAGTTAAGAATCTCTAATCTGGGAACTAGTTACAAACCTAACTGCCTCTAAGGACCAGCTGGAGGCCTGAAAATCAGGGCCTTTTTTGGTTTTCCTACTTTTGACGGGAAGAAATATTTTCCTTTCCTTTTAATTCTATTCTTTTTTCTTTGTGAGACAGGGTCTTGCTCTGTAGCTCAGGCTAGAGTGCAGTGGTGTCATCATAGCCCACTGCAACCTCAAACTCCTGGGCTTAAGGGACCCTCTTTCCTCAGCCTCCAGAGTAGCTGGGACTACAGGTGTGCACCACCACACTTGGCTAATTTTTTTAAAAAAATTTTTTGTAGAGATGGGGTCTTGCTATGTTGCCGAGGCTGGTCTCGAACTCCTGAGCTCAAGCAATCCTCCTGTCTTGGCCTCCCAAAGTGCTAAGATTACAGGTGTAAGCTACTGAGCCTGGCCCTTTTAATTCGATTCTAAGAAAAATTTCATTAAATATCTGATATGTTAATTGACATTGGCTTCCAGGTCAGAAATATGGGGGAGTAAAGAAGCCTGTCATGCACTGTAAGCACATGCTGCAGTTAAAGGCAGCAGCTTCTTGTTCCTGCTCACCCCTGCCCTTTGGGAAAGTGGGTCGGGGATGGCCAGACCTTCCAATTTTCAAGAAAAGCTAGAAGTTTAAGTTTTTGCACATTTACCTATTTTTAGTGTTGATAACTAGTTTAAAAAATTAAAAGGAACATGCATGCCACACAAAATCTGTCTACAGGCTGCATTTCAAACCAGGCTGCAGCTGGGGTCTTGGGCCTCAAGGGAAATGCAAAGAAGGCCAAAGACAGAACCTTGGAGAACACTGCTGCCTATTGGGTGTGCAGAGGAAGAGAATGCAGAGGGAGGAGACAGGGAAAGGTGGGAGGGCTGGGAGCAGGGATAGCAACTAAGGAGACTTTGAGAAGTAGTGCAAGGCCCTTGTATTATGGCACTCAGGAGAAGTCCACTTAGAAGAGGTAAACCTGGAGAAATGGCTACTCGATGTAGCCTTTCAGAGGTCACAAGTTGAGCCTGCCACTTTGCCCCGAGAGTGCCCTTTCTCACCCATGCCTTTGTCTTCGCAGTTCCTTCTGCTTATTAAATCCTTTTCTCCCTTGCTGCTTGGTGAACTCCTACCTTTTCTGTAAGGCTTGGCTTCAATGTTACCATCTCTCTGTAGTGTTCTGTGGTTGTCTAGCTAATGGATGACTTACTCTGCCGGGGTTTCCACAGTCCTTGATTCCATGTTACAGCACTTACTACATTCGACTCAAGTACAGTTTGTGGTCTGTGTGTATCACCCCCATCCACCCCCTGGTCATAAGGTCCTGTGATTTAGGGACCGGATCTTTTTTTATCCTTCTCTCTCCAGTCTGCCCCATGCTTGGCACATACTATGCAGTGCTCAAGTGATGTTTGCTGAAGCGGAGGGGTTAGGAGCAGGAACTCAGAGCCAGGCTGCCTGGGTTGGGAACCTGGCTTTACCACTTTCTGTGTAGTCCTGGGCACAGCTTTTGACCTTTCTATGCCTATTTTCTCATCTGTAAAATGTAATCCTCACATCAACTTTTTGTTATGAAGAATAAAATTAATAAGTTATACTCAAAGAATTCAGAACAGTGCCTGACACTTAGTAAGCCTTATCAGTTAGCTATTATATATATTATATATCACTATTATTAAATCTTAGCTTTTTTATTAAATGTTCGCTTCATCTGTTTTGTACGCTAAAGCATCCCCAGTGCGTAGAACATAGTAGGTGCTTAATAAATATTTGTTGACTTAATGAATGAGTGATGGACTTCCTTTTGCCCTCACTGGAGAGTCACACTGCCCTTCCAATGGGAGTGGGGTGACTATTGGGGTGTTTAGGGCCAATATCGCTGAAATCAAGGGCTTAGTAGAAGTTTGTGGACAGGCCTCAGGCATAGCCCTTATTATTTCTTTAGAAAACTGCTGAATTCTCAAAGGAACTTCTGAAATCCAAGTCAAAAGTTAGGTTGGGAAGGAAAATCTGCATGGCATGTGTACCAGGAATAACCTCTTTTGTCTTACTTGTTTTGTTCAATGGTTTCAAATTGCCTTCTCCAGGCAAGGCTGATGATAGTGCAAGTTGCATATGAATTTGAATCTTACTTTTTGTCCTTGCTCTCACAGGAAGTGACAGGCGTCCAAACACCCTAAAGTGATCACGAAACCAGCAAAAGGAGTGTTTTGCAGTCACATTAACCTGGATTCGAATCACAACTCTTGACTCTTAGCTGCTCTGTAAGTCAGGGATTGTCCCTGGTCTCTCTGAGTCTCACTTTTCTTATCTATAAAATGGAGATATCTTTCTTCACAAGATTGAGATAGGAGAGAAATTATTCGTGCATTTTGAAACCACTTAAGCTTTGTATAAATGCGTTATTCTTGGGATCTCTACTGGTTCCTTGCTAGGGTTTTAGAAAAATAAAAAGTAGGTCCTTATCGGTAAAAGTCTGGAGATCCTTAATATAATGTCCACGCTCTCTGAGGCCCACGGAGGGCCTGGACTTTCCCTCCCGGCGGGTAGGCAGGGGCAAAGCCCTGAGGGTTTGGGTGAGAGCTCAGTGGGGCACCAGACTAACGCCCAGGGGTCCAAGCTAAAAATTCATGCTTTCTTTCGGGTCAAACGTCACAATCCACAAATCCCATTAAGGACTCAAGGAAAGGCAACCCCGAAACCCGGTGAAGGGAAACCGAGATGCAAGGAGAGAGAGGGTCCGCTTGTTGCCAGGGGCGGAACGTTAAAGGCAGAGAAGGAGGTTGGTGGCTGGAACGACGATGCGGCTGATACAGTGGAAGGGCAATGGAGGGCAGGAGCTCGCCATCCTGAGTGAAAGTGGGGCCCAGAGAAAGGGGCCAGCCACAGGAATTTCGGTTCCCACCCTGCGACTCCTGGCTTGGACTACAGTTCGGTCCGCTGACGCCCGGGGCCCCTCGCTCCGCCCCCAGCGGGCGATCGGACCGTACCACAGTGCCCTTACAGGGGAGCAGGTGCATCGTGGGCTGGTGCTGCAGGGGAAATAGTTATTCATCGGAAAAAGTACGATTATATGTATTATTAACGTGCTTCTTAGTTAATCTGTTTCCCTTCTGTCTGCTCAGACCCTCTATGCTTCCTGAAAGTGGTAGGATTCCAGCCCTGCTTTCCCCTGTCCTTTTGCACACTTGGTACATTCCCCCCGCGGTGCGTGGGCGGGGAGGCGTACAAAAATCTCGACGCAGGAGGCGGGGCTGCTCAGTCCTCGCGGCGTCGGTGCTCAGTGGTGTTGGAATTTTGTTGCTTGCTGGCCGAGCGCGCGTGCGCGGACATGGCCTCAAACGGTATGTAAGGGCGCGAGGCGGCGGCCGGCGCGCCGGTCCGTGGCCTCGTTCTCTGCCTGCTGGGTTTTTGATTTTCTGTGGGAGCGGGGCGGCGATCACGTGTGGGATCTCGTACCACTGTGGCGGGAAGCAGTGGAGAGGGGTGGAAGGGGGAGGCCGATGTCGCCATTTTGTTTCGCTCTTCTGGCGCTTCTCGTGCAGGGCGGGAAGTCTTCCCTTCGCAGTCTATTTACTTGAGGTGAGGGCTGGGAGGGACGCTTCTTGGTGATTTGAAGCGTGAGGTAAGGGTGGAAATTCCCGATCTCCGTACCCTAATCCTTTCCTCCTAGCCCCTCGCTCGGGCCCGCTTTGTCGCAGTGCTGCATCCGGGCACTCGGTGCGCGCACGCGCTCTGCTGGCCCCTCCCCCCTTTCTCGCAGCGCGTATGCCCCTTCCCCGCCTCGTGTTAGCCTGGCTTTTTGTCGCGAGACCCTTTGCGGAAGATTCCGGAGCCGGCGTTGCTTGTGGGCCTCGTTCCCCAGGGTCTCTCGGGAAGGGGCGGGACCGCCCCGTTCCCGCTTCGGTTGCCACGCGGCCGGAGGCGGAGGCTCGGGATTGGGACCGCGCTCCTGCTTAACGGTTTGGGGGTGGGGATCGACCAACGGACTGGGGGACCGGGCTCGAGGGTTTTCCCGCCTAAATTTCTTATTTCTGAGGTGGGAACCGGAAAGAATGGTAGCCAGAGACCACACCCTCTGCTGGTCCTTTTGCCTTTTCCTGCGGGGGAAGCGCCTCGTTTCCTGAACTGAGGGAATGAGTTCATCTCGCTAGTGACTCTTTAGTGTGGCGTTTTAAAAGCACTGTCGTTACCTGTGGTTGGCTAGGTCTCCCACAGCTGTGAGGAAGAAGGCAGGGTAGATGAGAAAAACGGCATCATTTGGAGCCACAGGGCTCGGGACTTCAGTACCGGTTGACTTTGGCCTCTTGAGGCGAGCACTTTGAAGATCTCTGCCATTTGGGGTCAAAGGGCTCTCTTGTCTTGATTGCCTGGGTTTGCACTAAAAGCTCACTTTTTCATCTCCAAGGTTGGTCAGAGGGTGAGGAATGGTCTTTTTGAGAAATTCTTGTTCTTTGGGTTTTGGTTAAGAGAGTGGAGGCCACATTCTGAACATTGCTGTCTCGGGCTTGAATTTAAACCTGCGCTACTTAGTATGTCACTTGAGGCAAATTAACTGTCTTTTGACTCCTGGTGAGCATTCTTTTCTCATAGAATGGGTGTGAAAATGAAATGTGCGTGGAATATTCCAGAGCAGTTCCTGACCTGAATTGAGTTTACAGGAAATTGTAGCTGTCCACCGACACCCTTGGTTTTTCCAATAGTTAAGGTTTCTTGATCTTTGTAAAAATTTGCATTTTCTTTGCTGTAAGAAAACTTGACTGTGATCTGAACATAGAAACTAAGATCTGCTTCTCTTCTCAACCAGTGTCTTATGGAGGAATTTATGCTCTTTCTTTCAACATAGTCTTTTTTTTTTTTTGATTTGGAGGAACAGAGTTAGCTCTGTTCCACTCTCAGAGTGATGGCTGAAAGTAATGTGATTTTTTTTTTTTTTTTTTGACAGACTATACCCAACAAGCAACCCAAAGGTGAGTGTCATTTTTGGGCTTCTAGACTTTTTAGAGGGCAAGGATGGTGAAGATATCTTTTTCTGATTGTACTGTTTTTGTTTTTCTCCAGCTATGGGGCCTACCCCACCCAGCCGGGGCAGGGCTACTCACAGCAGAGCAGTCAGCCCTATGGACAGCAGAGTTACAGTGGTTACGGCCAGTCAGACACTTCAGGCTATGGCCAGAGCAGCTATGGTGGTTCTTATGGACAGACCCAGAACAGTGAGTCTCTCAGTGGGTCACCCCGCATCTTCCTGCTTTCTGAATGTTGCTTTTCTTAAACCAGAGCAGTGCTGAAATGTTGAAGCAGTCCCATGTTTTCCGCCCCCTAACCAGTGTATGATTCTTAAAACTCCTTAGAGTCAGACCTTTCAAACAAATGTTTTTTGGTTTGTAATTGTTTCCTTTTGTTTTTGACATTTACTTTTCTTTGTTTTTTAGGGGGGAAGGAGACAGGGTTTTGCTATGTTGCCCAGGCTAGTCTTGAACTCCTGGGCTAAAGCTTCTGATCCTTCCACCCCAGCCTCCTGGTAGCTGGGATTATAGGCATGCACCACTGTGTCTGGCTTGACTTTTTACTTTTATATTTGTGCTGGACCTTTTCCTATTTCCCTTCTCAGTGGTAAAGAGGGTGTATTCCCTAAAGGAAGAGCCAGTTTTAAGCTGATTCTTTTTTTTTTTTTTTTGAGACAGAGTCTTGCTCTGTTGCCTAGGCTAGAGTGCCATGGCGTCAGCCTAGCTCACAGCAACCTCAAACTCCTGGGCTCAAGCAATCCTTCTGCCTCAGCCTCCCGAGTAGCTGGGACCGCAGGCATACGCCACCATGCCTGGCTAATTTTTTCTATATATACTTTTAGTTGTCCAGATAATTTTTCTATTTTTAGTAGAGATGGAGTCTCTTGCTCAGGTGGGTCTCGAACTTCTGACCTCGAGTTATCCTCCTGCCTCGGCATCCCGGAGTGCTAGGATTATAGGAGTGAGCCACCACGCCTGGCCTTAAGCTGATTCTTAAGAAGAGAAATGGTTTGCATAAACATGTTTGAAGCCAGGCTACCATGTATCAGGTGATAACGCAAGAAGGTGGAATTTGCTCAAAGGTTCTGAAGTGTGAATAACTAATGTGGGTTGTTTTGTATGTAGTGTACATATACTAGCGCATTAAAGTGCTGTTAATAAATAAGGATCTTTTGGGTTGTGATTAGGGGGTCGCCCTGGAGCCTGGCTTTGGGATAGGGAGGATGAAATTGGAACTGTCCTAAAGTGTCAGTATGAGTTAAAGCATTAACCTTAGAGTTTAAAAGAAGGGTAACCTCTTTTACTATGAATTGCAAGATTAATAGCTTCTAAGAGGCTGACTTTTCAAGTATCGGTGAATATTAGCTAATATATGTTTTCTTCAACCCATTCCTTGCCTTTTTTCTTTCCTCATAGCTTCAGTGACTCCCTTTTTCTTTTCCTTGTAGCAGGCTATAGCACTCCGTCAACTCCCCAGGGATATGGCTCAACTGGTGGCTATGGCAGTAGCCAGAGTTCCCAGTCGTCTTATGGGCAGCAGTCCTCCTACCCTGGCTATGGCCAACAGCCGGCTCCCAGCAGCACCTCGGGAAGGTAAGGTGTTGTGGGGGCAAGGCTTGAAAGATTAGGGGTGAATTGATATGGAATGATGAAGTGACCAGCAATAGGAGCAATTATGAGGTATGGATTGGAGGTGGTGGAGTCTGCATTGGGTACAGCGAAATGGGATGTAGTAAAGGTGAAAGAAAGGTTTGGGCATGCTGGGGTTATGATCCTTTGCTTTTTGTTTCTCTTAGTTACAGTAGCAGTTCCCAGAGCAGCAGCTATGGACAGCCCCCAAGCGGGGGCTATGGCCAGCAGTCTGGCTATGGTGGACAGCAACAAAGCTACGGGCAGCAGCAAAGCTCCTATAATCCCCCTCAGGGCTATGGACAGCAGAGCCAGTACAACAGTAGCAGTGGTGGCGGAGGGGGTGGTGGAGGTGAGACAGTGTCTTCAGCTTTTGCTAATACCTGTTTTCTATAAGGATTTGTATTCTGTTTGGCCCGTGTCCTAAAAGGGTTGCTTTCTTGTTTCCTAGCTCTCTTTGTAATTTCTATTGTCCTTTATCTTCTGGGACTGATGAACCCTTCTTAGTGCTACTTTACAGTCTTTTTTTCTTTGTTGTTGTTAAAGCATTCTTTTTTTCCTGACAGGTAACTATGGCCAAGATCAGTCCTCCCTGAGTGGTGGCGGTGGTGGTTATGGCAGTCAGGACCAGAGTGGTGGCGGCTACGGGGGAGGCCAGCAGGACCGTGGGGGCCGCGGCAGGGGCGGTGGCGGTGGTTACAACCGCAGCACTGGTGGCTATGAACCCAGAGGTCGTGGAGGTGGCCGTGGAGGCAGAGGTGGCATGGGGTAGGTGTCTTGTGAGCCAGGGAGTATGTTTTGTGGGGAGGGTCGGGGGTTGCATGAATCTCCCCTAAAGCCAGTCCCTAGTACATTGTTTAGTATTCTCGTTGTCTAGGGATCTGTGAGGGCTCTGATTTGGAGGCAGTGACTTTCTTTGTACATCCCTGTTTTATTTTTGTGAGAATTTGGGAGCCTGAACTCTCCCATCCACACCACTGAATAGAGATTTGAGTATTGATGCTTTTATTTCCAAAGAAAAAATACATAGATATGTATGGACTGGAGTCATTGATACCCTAGGCAAGAAACATGGAAGTAAAGACTTCTTTCTCTGCAAGGGAAACCGATGATCCCACTCCTGGGAAATAGTAGGAAAACTTGGTATGTGTATTCCCATGTGTCCTCTAAGGGAGTTGGTAATGTTAACCTGACTTCAGCTTCCAGGAATTGGCTATTCTGTAGTCACTTGAATCCATGAGCTTGATTTGCACTAATTTGACTGACATTGATTTTGTGTGTGACTTGGTTTATGGGGTCATCTGACTGAAGTGTGCAGACCTTTTGGGCAAAAGTACTCCTGACAGTGGTATCCCACCTATTTGTTCCACTGTCTTGCTTTTCCCTGGTTACTTAAAAAACGTCAGCTTGTCCAAGTGGACCTTCTTTCCTTTCTTCCCGCTGAAGTTGACTTGAAGTAAAACCTTTATACTTACCTGGTAGGGGAGATGCCATGATCATGAAGTGAAACCTAGATTTGATGTTAAGACAGTCGTCAAATCTGTTGGTAAATATGATCTGAAGGACCCTACTCTGTCTCCCTTGAAAAAGGGGAGGATTGTCCGTGTTACTCCTTTTTGGAAAAAGTAGGTTTTTTAAATGAGTTTGTATATGGTAAGTATTCAGGGGTGGGTGGGGGCAATCTCAAAAACGTACAAAAATAAGGAAAACTCTGTTGTGTGCGTGTGTTTAATGCAAAACTTTAAAAAGAAAAACAACTGTTATGTGACTGTTAACTTGCTCTGCATTTTATGTGCCACAGGTATGAAAGGTGACATTGCAAAATACTCCGCTCTTCTCGCAGTGTAGAAGGGGTGACCCCGGGGGAGGGGGAAAATCAAAAACAGCTCAGTAGTTAGGACAGGCTTAGCTAAGTTTGTCTCGCTTTAAGGGGAATTGCCTTTGGTTTTGACTTTTTATGGAATGGGGTTGGGTGTGCTTGCTGCTTTCAAAGCAAAAATCACAAAAATGTGTTCAGGGCTACCCCAGCCTGGTGTGAAATGTCTTCTGGGTAAATTGGGGGTAGGGTTTTTAAACCACCTACTGGTTGTCAACCACTCGCGACAAGAGGAAAAAAACATCTGCTACATCGGAAGAAGGACCAAGGAAAATGGGTCATTTTTTTCCAGAGGAAATAGGCATATCTTTTAAAGCAAAATCTTTAATAACTGTGTCTGAGAAATTGCACACGTGTGTGTGACATGCTCAAAGGTCAGACAAGGGGTGGTCAGGAAGGGATGTATTTTAGTAGCCACTTGTATCTTTTTCCAAAAACACCTACCCATGTTTGGGGAATGTTAAACAAAATCAAAAAACACCCGTTTGTAGCCGTTGGAAGCTTCATGTCCTTTCTTCTAACTTGTCTTCTCCAGCGGAAGTGACCGTGGTGGCTTCAATAAATTTGGTGGTAAGTGAACAGAGTTTCCAAAATTCCCAACTCCCAGCAATGCTTTGTCTGATTGTTCATTTGCAGATGTCTTAGCGTGTTAATTTAAGTGTCAAAGGTTTTGAAGTGTCCAGAACCACCTCCAGAAAGGGGTGGGGTAGAATGCCACCTGCTGCCAGATGTGTGCTAATCTGGAGGCAGGCAGGGATAAGACTCAGCAGTCGTCTGGTACCAAATTGGTTTGACCCAGGTTAATAATGAGGTGTCTAGTAGGCCTCTGACAGGGGTGTTGCCACACCTGGCACTTAGTGACCGCCACCATGAGAAACTGGAGAGTGTGTGCTGGAACACATGGTGCCAAGTTGGCTTTAGGATCCTTTTGATCATTGTGTCCAAGGCTAGTTTGTGTGTCCGTGTGTATGACAACCTCCAAATGTTTTAATTCTGGGAGAGGGATGTGAAATAATTGCCCTGCCCTGAGGATGGCGAAGTTGGTATATATTTATATATTAAGTACTGAATGGTGTCAATGCAATTTTACATATATGGACTTAGATGGGCAAATAGAAACTAGCTCTGGGAAGGAAGGTGTGGACTACTTCAAGAAAGATTGGGAGCATGTGTGGCTCATGGGAAATAACCAGGTCTTAAACAGCACAAACTGAATTCATGGAAAAAATGGCAAATTTGAGAAGTCTCCCAGTAAGCTGGAACTTTTCTGGTTTGGTTAACTAACAAAAGGTTTCATGATTTGTCTCAACATTTAAAGCCAAAGGCTTGGGTTCATGACTTAGGTGTCATTGCGTGTGGGTAAAATATTTATATATGGCAAATTCAGATGAACATTGGTCAAAGACGGTCTCTGGGAAAAAAGTAGAGGCTGCATTATGGAAATAAGATTTCTGGTCTGTTTCCTGGGATATGCTTTAAAAATACAATAGCTATTATGTATGTTTTTTATTTTCATGTGATTGGGAAAACATAACATGGTTTTAAGAATGGTTTCTAAAAATGAAATTAAAAATTGTTCTACGAGGGATAAGTGTCTTTGGTGTTAAAGTTTGGAGAAACTGGATGGATGCACATCACATTGCTGGTGGTGAGCCCATATCTCTCTGGGGTGAGAGAACAGGGCCAAGCTATGAGTTGGTTTGTTAACTTTAATGGGTCTACCCCCCTCCCCCCATCTGTGCTGAGGACATTTCCCAGCCTGAGCTGGGGGAGGCAGCATTTTCTGAAGTGTGGAGTTGTCCCTATGGGGACTCAAGTTACAGATCTTAAGAAAAGGGGCCTGTGTCTTCCCCAGCCCTGCCCTAGGATTTTCTCCTCTGGGCAGGCAACCCAGGACAGGATTTGGAGTCAGGCTGTGAGCACTTACCTGATATTTTACAAGAATTTGGATTTAGTGTTAATTTTTTCTCTGTTTTTTCCTGTTGACTAACGGCTCCTCTTTTCCTTGTTTTTTTTGTTTTTGTTTTCTTTTTTCCATGTCACTTAAGGCCCTCGGGACCAAGGATCACGTCATGACTCCGGTGAGTACATAGGTGGCACAAAAGAGTGGCTGAAGTGGTGTTAAGACTCTTCCTGGATATTCTTTGAAACTAAAAAATGGAAACTGAAAACAACGGGTAGATTAGAGAGAGTTTAGGTGTAACTTTAGTTGGCACTGGTTCATAAATGACTGTATATCAGGAATAATCTGGTTTGTGGGTTCCTACCTCAGCAGCTTAGAAGGCTGGGATGAGCCCGAGAATCGGTATTTCTTTTTTTTTTTTTTTTAGACAAAGGCCAGTCTCACTCTCTTGCCTGGAGCGAGTGCCATGGCGTCAGCCTAGCTCACAGCAACCTCAAACTCCTGGGCTCAAGCGATCCTTCTGCCTCAGCCTCCCGAGTAGCTGGGACTACAGGCATGCGCCACCATGCCCAGCTAATTTTTTCTATATATTTTTAGTTGGCCGATTAATTTCTTTCTAATTTTAGTAGAGACGGGGGTCTCACTCTTGCTCAGGCTGGTCTCGAACTCCTGAGCTCAAACAGTCTGCCCGCCTCGGCCTCCCAGAGTGCTAGGATTACAGGCGTGAGCCACCGCGCCTGACCTGGGAGAATTGGTATTTCTAAGTCCCAGGTGATGCTCATGCATCTGTGGACCACACTCCAGAGCTGTTGATTTAAAGCAGTAATTTTTTAAAAATGTAAATCATGTCAAATTGGTGAATAAAACTAGTGAACAAAAGACCCGATAGCATTACACATAAGGAGAAGCATTTAATGAATCTTTTGTTTTGAGGGTATTCATGTTTGTGTACTAGATTTTAATGTAAAATGGGTTTCTTCAGTTGAAAGTTGATGTACTTTTGTTGTGTCATCTCAGGCAGTTAACTTTTTTTTATGAGACAGAGTCTCACTCTGTTGCCCATGCTTGAGTGCCGTGGCATCAGCCCAACTCACAGCAACCTCAAACTTCTGGGCTTAAGCAATCCTACTGCCTCGGCCTCCCGAGTAGCTGGGACTACAGGCATACGCCACCATGCCTGGCTAATTTTTTTTTTATATGTATTTTTAGTTGTTTGGCTAATTTCTTTCTATTTTTAATAGAGATGGGGTCTCGCTGTTGCTCAGGCTGATCTTGAACTCCTGACCTCAAGCCATCCTCCCACCTTGGCCTCCTAGAGTGCTAGGATTACAGGCATGAGCCACCGTGTCCAGCCTCAGGCAGTTAACTCTTTTTTTTTTTTGAGACAGAGTCTCACTCTCTTGCCTGGCGCGAGTGCCATGGCGTCAGCCTAGCTCACAGCAACCTCAAACTCCTGGGCTCAAGTAATCCTACTGTCTCAGCCTCCCGGGTAGCTGGGACCACAGGCACGCGCCACCTACATATATTTTTAGCTGTCCAATTAATTTCTTTCCATTTTTTGGTAGAGACAGGGTCTCGCTCTTGCTCAGGCTGGTCTCGAACTCCTGAGCTCAGAACGATCTGCCCGCCTCGGCCTCCCAGAGTGCTAGGATTACAGGTGTGAGCCACCGCGCCCGGCCAGGCAGTTAACTCTTGACACCTGGTTTCTGTACAGTGTATTAACATGTTTCGAAGGGTAGCTGTAAAACTAAATGTAAAATTTATGAACATGGCTAGCATACAAGCTCTTAAATATTAAAATACATGAACTGCCATGTGAATTGCATTTAACTTACGCTAGTTTTGAGTCCGGGGCCTCGTGAAGCGTATGTAACTCACACATCCCTTTACCTTGGATGCCACATGAACTATTTTTCAAGTTGCATCTAACTCATATGGAAAATAATAAAAAATAACATTTTTCATTAAATTAGAAAAGATCATTGTGTTTTTGAAGTTTTTATTCTATTTTCGTGATAAAACATTGGCCCCAAGGGAAAAAATTATTTTTCCTAGTGTGGCAGTCAATGTGTTACATTATCTAACCTAAACCAAAATGTTACTGTTGCTGATAAATAAGTCCTTTTGATGAGTATTTCCCCCTTGAAGCTTAATGTCAAGTGTTTCTTAGATTGGGTCACCTGTTTTACATTTTCTTTACCATTGCTTTCTCTTTACTTTTTTTTTGTTTTGTTTTATCCTCACTCTTCAAATTTACATTTCTTCTATGTTCAACAAGCAGAACAGGATAATTCAGACAACAACACCATCTTCGTGCAAGGCCTGGGGGAGAATGTTACAATTGAGTCTGTGGCTGATTACTTCAAACAGATTGGTATTATTAAGGTATTTGTGGATCAGAATGGGTGCTTTCTGTAAGTGTTGCAGGCTTTTGGATTTCACACATTAGTAAAAATAGGTCTTAATGGTTGCCAGAAGTGAAAACAAAAGTCCTTAATGGTTGTTGTCAGCTTAATTTGTTGAGGAAAGCCCATTAGCTGTGTTTTTTGTTTGTTTGTTTTTGAGACAGGGTCTTGCTGTTTCTAGGGCTATCAGTGGTGGCATCCTACTCATCCTAGCTCCTGGGCTCACTTATCCTCCTGCCTCAGCCTCCTGAATAGCTAGGACCATGGGAGTATGCCACCATGCCCAGCTAATTTTTCTATTTATTTTTTGTAGAGATGAGGTCTCACAATATTGTTTAAGCTGGTCTCAGCTCACTCCTGGGGCTCAAGGGATTCTCCCATCTTGGCCTCCCAAAGTGCTGGGATTATAGGCCATAAACCACTGCACTCAGCTGCTGTTGCTGTGTTCTGAATAAAGCCTGCCTTCACACAAAAGTATAGTTGATAAGGGAGTGCCCTGAACTCCTCCTGGATTTGTGCTCCATATGATAATTTTTAGTTTTACCTTTTAGCATTGAAGTGAGAAAACAGTTTTTAGACCATGATTTTAATTCAGCATATGTGTGAGATAGGGTGAAGTAACTGAGAAGAGGGGAGCTGAACTTTGGGAATGATTTAAACTCAAGTTCTAGAGGAGGAGGATGGAAGGTTGTACTATAGCCTCTAAATGTAATGTTAACTAATTTTCTTTTTCTCAGACAAACAAGAAAACAGGACAGCCCATGATTAATTTGTACACAGACAGGGAAACTGGCAAGCTGAAGGGAGAGGCAACGGTTTCTTTCGATGACCCACCTTCTGCTAAGGCAGCTATTGACTGGTTTGATGGTATGTATGAGAAAGCTAGTGGAGGTGCAGGTGGGGATAGAGTAATTAGCCTTAGAGAGTAGGCCACATTTTGAGGGTTCTTTTGTGTCTTCCAACACTTAATTTAGCTGCAAATTCAGTATAGTCTCTTTTGCTTATGTCTCATTAGATTTTAAACCTTTTTAGGAAGGTAGTCTTAGATTGTATGAAATGTGTATTTGGATCCAGAGATCTTGAATCAAAAGTTCGTTTTTAAAAAATGCCTCCTTTATTTCTTTAGGTAAGGAATTCTCTGGGAATCCTATCAAGGTCTCATTTGCTACGCGCCGAGCTGACTTCAATCGGGGTGGTGGCAATGGTCGTGGAGGCCGAGGGCGAGGAGGTGAGTTCTATCTGCTGGTGGTACGAAAAGAGGTGATGGGGAGAGTGCAAAGATGGTAGGGGGTTACACAGAAAAGGTCAGGTTAACCAAACTTGGAAGGGAAGCACACCCATACTTGTATCTACGCTAGGACCCATGGGCCGTGGAGGCTATGGAGGTGGTGGCAGTGGTGGTGGTGGCCGAGGAGGATTCCCCAGTGGAGGTGGTGGCGGTGGAGGACAGCAACGAGCTGGGGACTGGAAGTGTCCTAATCCGTGAGTGAAAGTTAATTTTTTTCTTAGTTTTCTTACGTGTGCCTTTTGATATTACGGTAGAGTTGTGTGGGTGTTTATTCTAAACTAATAAATGTCAGGGCCACGTTGTTGGGGGCAGATGTAGATGAGAGCTTACCTGAGTAAGGTCAGTATAGTGGGAAAGGTAATTGACTGGGTTCAGTAATTACAGTTTCTGTTCCTGGTTCTGCTTGCGAGAAGCAAGTCTTTCTGAGGACTCAGTTTCGTCACTGTATCTCTAAGATCACTGGATTTGTTCCTAATTCTAGGCCTTGCCTACTCCCCATTCCTCCAAACTAATTGTCTTCCTTCTCCTCAGTACATGTGAGAACATGAACTTCTCTTGGAGGAATGAATGCAACCAGTGTAAGGCCCCTAAACCAGATGGCCCAGGAGGTGGACCAGGAGGCTCTCATATGGGTAAGAGAGAGTCAACGCTTCATTTTTAAGTCCTTAATTTTTAAGCAATAAGGCTATGGGGAAGGTAGAAGGTTGGGGTTATGATTGATCATATTTCTTTTGTCCTAGGGGGTAACTATGGAGATGATCGTCGTGGTGGCAGAGGAGGCTATGATCGAGGCGGCTACCGGGGCCGTGGTGGGGACCGTGGGGGCTTCCGAGGGGGCCGGGGTGGTGGGGACAGAGGCGGCTTTGGCCCTGGCAAGATGGACTCTAGGTGAGTAAGACTTTAAATTGAAGTAAAAGTAGAGCAGTTGAACAGAGGCCATGGGATAACAAGGTTTTATTGAGAAAGTGGTTTCATTTGAGGGCTAGATTGGAAAGACCTGAGATTGTAAACTAGAGTAGGGAGGGAGGGAAGGCAAATTATCTCGGGGGAGCAATCTGTAGACCCATGCTACTTACAGAGATGAGACATTTGGTTGATTGGGTAGGAGGGGCAGGTAGGATATCTGGGGGTTGTGTGTGTGTGCGCGTGGGGTGGATGGAGAGGCTGGTAACTCAAACCTAATGGATACCTTTTTTTCCTTTTTTCCAGGGGTGAGCACAGACAGGATCGCAGGGAGAGGCCGTATTAGCCTGGCTCCTGAGGTTCTGGAACAGCTTTTCTTCCTGTACCCAGTGTTACCCTTGTTATTTTGTAACCTTCAATTCGTGATCACCCATGGGTTTTTTGTGTCGGACTACGTAATTGTAACCATACCTCTGGTTCCCATTAAAAACCATCGTTTTAGTTAAATTTTGTTCCTTTTCCCCCTCTTCAGTCTCCTGGAGGATTGATGTCCGGGTCAGGAATGTGGGGAGTTTTCCTCTTTCAGATCCTCCTGCCCAGCAGGAACTGGAATAATTTGTCCTGCCCAGCAGGAACTGGAATAAAGTGTTTGATACTTGATCCAGGGGAGAAAAGATCAAGTGGTATCCTTAAGAGTAGAGATTAAACTTCAATGTCATGGCAAATTGGACGTATAAAAGAGATAAATGGACACATGATGTCATGAGTGTTGCCCCAAATTTGCCCAACGGTGGGAGTTTTTCTTTACCACATTTATTTGCATATTGGTTTTAGTTTATTATTTGTAGGAGTTTTACCCTTTTTAGGAGCTTTTACCTGTTTTGACACATTGCTAAGGGTGAGGCTCAAACGAGTTTGGTTTGTTGGGGACAGTATTCAGATCTGAACATGATGAAGAGCACTTAACCAGCCATATTGGGTCTTTCACAGGAAGCAGAGCAACTGAGTACCTACTGAGTGTCAAAAAGACTTGCTTCTCACAAGCAGAACCAGGCACAGAAAGTGATTACTGAACCTAGTCAATTATCTTTCCCACTATACTGACCTTACTTATTTAGGGCCTACAGAGTGCCATGGAGTTATATGGAGTTGAGTCATGATGTAATGCTCAGAAAGGGAAGTGCATGAGTTACGTGGCTAAGAATCAGCCAGAATTGAGTCCTACTCTTCTGACTCCATTTCCATTTTGTAGCATTTTTATTATGAAACCATTGCATGGGGGGCCCTGAAGGGGACAAACTCCTATCCCAAACTTTTGTTTACTTAAGGCTTACAAGCATGCTCGATTTGGGAGAAGAGGCTTGGGAATGAGTGGAGAGAAGGGGGAAGGAAGCTTTGCTGGGAAAGGAAGGTAGAAATTAGAGGTGAGTGCCCCCCTCCTTTCTCTGGTTAATGGGGCTTAGGGAGATAAACTGCTGTAAGGAAACAGTGGCACTTTCACATCCTGCTTGTACACAGAGGGCTAGAGGTCATTGGTATTTTCAGATTTTAGGCTTGAGTCTTTGGGGAGTGGGAAGTCCTCTTCCTTCTAATGGGTGTGTTGAGTGATAGAGGGGAAGGGTGTGGTCAGTGAGTTAAAACCTTAGAGCAGTGCCCCTTTGCTTCTTAACCACATGCCTGCAAACCACATGCCCTGCCAGCCAATTGTTCATGAATTTTAGTTAGGCAGAGCTGAGAATTCCAGCCAAGAGCAAAAGATTTTTGTCATGACACTTTAAAGCATAATTTGTAAGATGACTGCTGTCAGAAGCATAGCTTGCAAATACGCCTGGGAACCCTAGTTGGGAAGTGCTTTTCCACTTGAAATTTTTCAGAGGTGCTGCAGCATAGTCTCTGTTTAAGTATGTTCAAGTATGTTTTCTACAGAGGAGTTGCTCCTTCATCCTCAAATCTCTGATTTGAGGCAGAGAAACTAATGGCTTTGTGAAAAGGAATAGCTAGCTGCTTTACCATCCTCTCTGTTGGAGTGGGGCGTGTTCTAATCAAGAGTAGGTTGAGGCTGGGCGTGGTGGCTCACCTGTAATCCTAGCAATCTGGGAGGCTGAGGCAGGAGGATTGATTGAGCCCAGGAGCTTGAGGTTGCTGTGAGCTAGGCTGATGCCACGGGACTCTAGCCCGGGTGGCTGAGCAAGACTCTGTCTCAAAAAAAAAAAAAAAAAGTTGAGTGGCCTGACATATAAAAACTGAGAAAGTATTGCCAAGTGGATCTTACCAGGCATTGCTTTGACTTGGCTTGCTTTTTTTTTTTTTTTTTTTGAGACAGGGTCTCTGTTGCCCAGGCTGGAATACAGTTGTGTGATCATAGCCCATTGTAACTCCTGGGCTCAAGGGATCTTCCCACTTTAGCCTTCCAAGTAGCTGGGACTACAGATGTGTACCACCATACTCAGCTAATTTTTTTATTTATTGCAGAGACAGTGTCTCACTATGTTGCCCAGGCCAATCTCGAACTCCTTCCTGATCACAAGCAATTGATTGTCCTGCCTCGGCCTTCCAAACCTGGGATTATGGGTGTGAGCCACTGTTCTGGCCTCATTTGGCTTATTGAATTTAGTACATGCAGAGGATTCCTCAGATTTGGAGCCAAGCATGTGGCACTGGTTTTCTTCCTGCCTCTGCTGTTTTCTTGCTTAAATGACGTTTGATTTGAGTGGCCCGATCTGATGTCTCTGAGTAGTTCACTGTTGCTACTTCATCCAGGAAAGTTCTAATTTTAGGGCTTTGTTGTCCCTTGATCCCTATTGCTAGGAGTGAAGGAGGTGGAAGCTCCTTGTAAACCTGATTACTGGGACTAGTGTCAAGTTCTTAGGTCCCTGAAAAGGTTTTAGTGATTGGCCTTACCCTTAAGTAAAAGGAGAGAGGGCTGCGTGGTTGTGCATGCCTGTAATCCCAGCTATTTGGGAGGCTAAGGTGGCAGGATTGCTTGAGCTTGGAGTTTGAGACAAGCCTAGGCAACAAAGGAAGACTCCATCTTTTTATTTTTTTTTCTTTCTGAGACAGTCTCACTCTGTTGCCCAGGATAGAGTGCCGTGGCATCAGCCTCGCTCACGGCAACCTCAAACTCCTGGGCTCAAGCGATCCTCCTGCCTCAGCTAGGACTACAGGCATGCGCCACCATGCCCGGCTAATTTTTTCTATATATTTTTAGTTGTCCAGCTAATTTCTTTCTATTTTTTTAGAGGAGATGGGGTCTCGCTCTTGCTTAGGCTGGTCTCAAACTCCTGAGCTCAAACGATCCGCCACCTCGGCCTCCCAGAGTGCTAGGATTACAGGCGTGAGCCGCCGAGCCCGGCGGGAAGACTCCATCTTTAAAAAGGGAAAAAACAAAGGCCCCAGGTGACTGATAATGGGTGGATCCAGTTTGGGGGGCTTTTCCAGAAGAGTGGATGAAGACAGCTAACAGTGGACAGAATGTTGGTGTCTGAGACGCTGGTTCTGGTGTCAGGTCATCCTGGGTGAGAAAGTGTGAGATCATGGGGTTTGGAGTTTGAGCCCTCTGGTCTTTGCTGCATTCCCTAGTAATAGGCTAGAAACTGCCAGTCATTTTTTCTAATTTGTATGGATTTTAGACTAGTCCTTTGTGTTCCAAAGATACATCATTATTACTGAACTATCGGGAAACAGTCTGCAATCTTGAAGCACTTTATGCTTGGCTTTTGTGAGTTGAAATTGAAATTGGGACAAGCTAACTGAGAAGTGAAGTGAGGAGTGTGGGGAGAGGTGCCTTGTAGCTCTGTTTGCCGCCTCCCTTGATTGAGTCATCGGTTAGCCTCAGCTTTTTTGCCCTCATCACATGCGTGGTCTGCCTGGGTTTCAGTAACTTGGTTGTGGGGCTGTGGTTCAGTCAGTGATGGCTGGATTGATCAGGACGTAAGGTCTATGGTCCATCCCCATGAGACTTGACACATGATTCCACCTTTAGTCATGTTTCTTCCTACTTGTAGTCTCTTATCCTTTAAAAAAATTTTTTTTATTTGACAAACAATAGCTGTATATATTTATGGAATACAGTGTGATGTTTCAATACATGTATATATTTTGGAATGATCAAATTCAGGCTAATACTTATCACATCATGTACTTATTTCTTTGTGGTGAGAACATTTAAAATCTCTTAGCAATTTTGAAATCAGCAATTTTGAACTATTATTTTATATGTTTTAGATATGAGGGGTCTCACTATGTTACCCAGGCTGGACTCGAACTCTTGGGATCAAGTGATCTGCTCGTCATTAGCCTTAAGAGTCACTGGGACTTACAGGCATGCCACCATGTGCCTGTCTTGTAATACATTATTATTAACTGTAGTCACTGTACTGTGCAGCAGATCACCAGAACTTTTCCTAAATGAAACTTTGTAGCCTCTGACCTACATTTCTCTTTTCCCTGCTCTACCTACCCCTCAGTTTCTGGTAACCCCCATTCTACTATTCTCTACTTCTATGAGTTTGATTTTTTTTTTTTTAATATTCTATATGCCAGTGAGCTCATGCAGTCTTTTTGTGCCTGGCTTTATTTCACTTAGCATAATGTCTTCTAGATTCATCCATATTGCAAATGACAGAATTTCCTTTTTAATTAAAAAGCTGAGTATTCCATTGTGTATATACCATGTTTAACAAATCCAGTCTGTTGATGGGCACTTTGGTTTCCATATCTTGGCTACTGTGAATAATGGTGCAATGTACACGGGAGTGTAGACATCTCTTTGACATACTTAGTTCCTTTGGATATATACTCAGAAGTGGCATTGCTGTATCATACGGTACTTTCATTTTTCTTTTTTTGAGGAACCTTCATACTGTTTTCCATAACGGCCGTATTGATCCACATTCCCACCAACTGTGTTCACATCCTTCCCAACCCTTTAATCTTTTTGATAACAGTCATTCCAACAGGTGTGAGGTGGTGTCTCATCTCTTATCTTTCTTAACCACCCACCATGGAATCTGTAACCAGATCTCCCTAATTATACTAGTCTGCAAGGGAGGCTGGAATCAGTGTGGCATATGGGGTCTCATCTGCAGACATTGCTCCCCAAATAGTCTTTCCACAATTCAGACCTCCTTTTCTACCTTTGGGTCCTCAGTACTTAAAGTCTCTTTCCCTTCATCTTTTCAGACTTTATTTTGAAATAATTTTAGGTTTAGCAGTTTCCACAATAATTACGTTCATCTAAAGTCTGATCATCATGGTGCTGGTATATAAGAACAGAGTATCGGCCGGGCGCGGTGGCTCACGCCTGTAATCTTAGCTCTCTGGGAGGCCGAGGCGGGTGGATTGTTTGAGCTCAGGAGTTCGAAACCAGCCTGAGCAAGAGTGAGACCCCGTCTCTACTAAAATTAGAAAGAAATGAATTGGACAACTAAAAATATATAGAAAAAATTAGCCGGGCATGGTGGCACATGCCTGTAGTCCCAGCTACTCAGGAGGCTGAGGCAGGAGGATCGCTTGAGCCCAGGAGTTTGAGGTTGCTGTGAGCCAGGCTGACGCCACGGCACTCTAGCCAGGGCAACACAGTGAGACTCTGTCTCAAAAAAAAAAAAAAAAGAACAGTATTGTCAAGTGGATCTTGTTGGCTCATTTGGCTTTAGGGTATTTTGATATATTGGACCCTCAGTCTTAAGGTGTTAGCAGTTAGAACTTTTGGAGACCATTGAATCTAAAATTTCTAGTATCCTTGAGGCAGGAACAGACTTGTAGAAAGGATGTAGTTTATGAGCAGGAGGTTGGAGCTGAGAGAAATAGTGCTTTCTGCTGATGGTTAGTGTTCTCTGGGCTCCTTAAATTGTGGCTTTAGCCCTAAATCTTGGGGCTATAGTACTAGAGAGGAGGGCTCCTTTAACTGAAAAACAATTGAGGGCCACCAGTATAGGGGCTAGAGGCAAAGGAAAGGAGCTCGAGCTATTGGTTTGAAGATTAAGGGTGTGCTGTGCCTACTTCAGAGTGCTGCTAGTGCTGTAGCAGAGAGCCAAGCTTGGCTGCTTTGGGGAAGGGTTATCAGTATGAGGATAACCTTTGAATGGAGCAGGGGCTGTTTTTTAGGTGGCCTCCTGCCCTTGCAGACCTCACCAAGGGGTGGCAGTGTTGCATAATTGGAAGGATTCCTTGTAGCTATTGAGCACAGCGTCGTTAGAGCTTCACTGCAGCTCCTTCAGAGTAGGGACGCGGCTGTTAGATCTTTCGCTTTATAGGGCTTTTTCTTCTTTGTTTTGTTTTGATTTTCCAGAGTTTCAGGGAAAGCCGATCTACCCTGTTTGCAGTGTCCCTGAATAAAAAGGCAAATCCCCATTCAGTGTGGGAGGGGCTCTGCAAACCTTTGTTGGTTTGAGATGGCTGGAACCAAGTTTTCATTTGAGAGAGATTTTTCTATATTTTGAGAGACAGCACAGTCATTTTTCTTGCTCTGTTGCCCAGGCTGGAGTGCAGTGGCTCATCGGTCACACATTCCTGGTCTCACATTCCTGGTGTCACATTCCTGGCGTCAAGTGATCTTCCTGCCTCTACCTCCCAAAGTGCTGGGATTACAGGCATGAGTCGCTGCACCCAGCCCATGTACAGTATATTATAGTTCTTTTATTGTTTATCTCTCTTTAATTTGTAAACTAAATTTTATCATAGGTATATATGTTCAGGAAAAAAGCAGTGTTTATAGGGTTCAGTACTATTAGGGGTTTCAGACATCCACTGGGGGTCTTGAAACTTATTATCCCCTGAGTATCAGGAGGAGTACTGTATGTATGCCTAACTTGGATGGATGTATGAATCTCTTGGCAATTCTGTTGAAATGTCAACTAATTCAGTAGGTTCAGGTGGGGCCCAAGATGTGCATTTCTCACAGGCTCTGTGGTGGTATTGATGCTGCTGGTTCAATACTTTAACTTAGAGTAACGTTCTAGAGTTTTTTCAAAGATGCATCTTGCTCTCCTCCCCACCTTTGCCCTGAAGAGGAACTTGACTTTGTACAAAACTTTCTTTATAAACTAGGAGCCAAGAAAAAGGAAGGGTGGCCCCCGCATGTGGGTTCTTCTAATTAGCACAGGCCCTCCTAACACTGGCTTCTGTTCCTTGTTCTTTTTTAAAGTCTTCTGAAGCTCGAATGGGAGATTTGAGCAAAAAATATTTATTGTGTCAGATGCTGTTTTGTTTTTTTTCGTCTGGGGTTTTTATTAGTGCAGGGAAATCTGGGGCATCATGAAGTCCTCAGCACAGTGGCTGGGGTGGGAAATTTCTGTGTGGCCACAAAGAAGAGTGAGTGACTCTCCACGTGTTCAGGAGAAGGTAATTTTGAGTTGCCCCTTCACTTTGTTGAATGTCTCTGAAAACCAGTTCTGGGTATTGGCAGGGATGTTGCTGTTTGATGTGGTCAGTGGCCTCCTGAGCATTGTGCTCCAGCAGTGTTCCCAGACTCCTTCAGCTTATCTGGGATTCACTGCATGGTGCTGGAGATGTCCGGGGCCATCTGGACTGGGACTTGAGAGAACCACCATGAGGATGGGGAGTGACAGAACAAAACTGATGGTGATGACAGAAGGGCACTCTGGACTGGTCTTGGGACACATGGGTGCTCAGATGCTATTCTAAGTCATTGGGGAGATAGGAACAAAAACATTCCAGTGGAGGTAGTCATTAACACTTAGGTATACTTGCTATGGGCCAGTTGCTGTTAGGTGATGAGCCAAGTCCTGTTATCCTCACTTTACAGAGGGGTTGCTGAAGCACATTAGCCTAGGGAGAGGTAGAGCTGGGGTTTGAACCCTCTTCTGACTAGAACTTTTGCCCTTAACCACTGTGCTATGCCTAAAGTCTGAGCAGACTTCTAGAAGTCTTTGCGTTCTTCCCTCCCCACCTCCAAAGAGAAAAGGGACCCCCTTACCCAGAAATTTTTTATCACTTTGCCTGAGGCCTGCACTGGTTTTTGTAGCTACTCTTTAAGGGTATCTGTTGTGCAAGGAAGAGTTACCTGTGGCCCCCATCTCACGAGAACCATTAGGTTCCCGTGAAGTGTTTAAAAAATCTGTACCGAGGTTGAAAATATACCTGTTTTTATTTTTTTGGAATACAGGGTCTCTGTTGCCCAGGCTGGAGTATAGTGGCCTAATCATAGCTCACTGTAACCTTGAACTTCTAGGCTCAAGTAATCCCCACCTCAGCCTCCTGAGTAGCTGGGACTACAGACGCAGGTCACCATGCAAAGCTAATTTTTATTTTTGTAGAGATGAGGTCTCAACTATGTTGCCCAGTCTGGTCTTCAACTCCTAGCCTCAAGGGATCCTCCTGCCTTAGCCTTCCAAAGTGCTGGGATTACAGGCGTGAGCCACTGAGCCTGGCCAAGATGTCTCTTATTTAGAGACCACTGTGGTCTTGCTCTGTTGCCCAGGCTGGAGTGCAGTGGTGTGATAATGGTTCACTGTAGCCTCAAACTTGTGGGCTCAAGTGATCCTTCTGCTTCAGCCTCCTGAGTAGCTGGGACTACAGGTGTGCGCCACACCACACCTGCGTAATTAAATTTTTATTTTTTTTATTACAAAATCTTGCTATATTGCCCAGGCTGATTTTGATCTCTCAGCCTCAAGCGATCCTCCTGCCTTTGCCCGAGCTATCACACCTGGCTAGATGTTTCTTTTTTTTTTTCTTTTTTGAGACAGAGTCTCACTGTGTTGCCCCGGCTAGACTGCCGTGGCGTCAGCCTAGCTCACAGCAACCTCAAACTCCTGGGCTCAAGTGATCCTCCTGCCTCATCCTCCCAAGTAGCTGGGACTACAGGCATGCGCCACCATGCCCGGCTAATTTTTTCTATATATTTTTAGTTGTCCAATTAATTTCTTTCTATTTTTAGTAGAGACGGGGTCTCGCTCTTGCTCAGGCTGGTTTTGAACTCCTGAGCTCAAACGATCCGCCCGCCTCGGCTTCCCAGAGAGCTAGGATTACAGGCGTGAGCCACCGCGCCCGGCCTTAGATGTTTCTTTTTAATGGGGTTCAATCTAATGGAATCTTTTGTGAAAGTAGACCATGACAGTGGTTTGCTTTGCCATAGGGACACTGCGAAGTGTGTCAGAGTCTGGAGGAAGGTACGCCTGTGGGCATTCTGGGGCGGGTAGAAGATTTCAAAGTGTCCAGAGCTGAGGGATCAGCATGTGCTAGGGCTCTGGACAAATAGTGAGCCCTAGTGAGCAAATAGTGTTGCAGGGATTGTGGGATATGTGAAGAGAGGACAGGAGAGATTGGATGGGGTTAAGGGCCAGGCTAGAAGGAGAGTTTAGGTTTTCTGTGAAAAGTGAGTCTACTGCCATGATCAGTTTTGATTACTCTGGTGCTTGGAGGTAGACTAGGGGCAGGGAGGACCAGTAGGACGCTGTTTACAGATAAGACATTATTAGATATAAATGCAGTGGGGGCAGTGAGTTTGGAAAGTGGTTGTCAGATGGTTTCTAAGGATGGGATACTGGGCCTTCTGGGTGTTCTGCCTGTTTCTTTGCACAACCTTCAAGGCCAGAAGGGGTTGGGTGTAGTGTATTCTCAAGATGTAGTCCTAGGATCCTATACAACCTTTGGAAAGACCCCTTAAGTGCCCCTTAAGTATTTCCTGGAGAGAAATACATTTTTCTTTGTAAGCAAAAAGTGCATCAAGAAGCGAAACAGCTACCAGAATTCATTTCCTGAAAATTTGCTTTTGTGGTTGGCATATTTTCTGGGCAAAGTGTGACCTATAACCCTTCCTCCAGGGGGTGGGGTGGAACAGAGGGAGCATTTAAGCCTGCTAGTGCCAGTGCCAGGAGGAACCCTAGAATTATATTTGGTGGCTTGTACTCTTCTGTCCTGTGCTTACTGTTCTAATATCCCCCTCTGAAAATTGCTCTAATTTCCCATTTTTGTTCCCTGTGGAAAAAGTGAAAGGTAAGAAACTTTAGTCTGTTTCTAATGCCTCCGACAAATCTCCCCACAGTTTCAGGCCCCTTTGTACTTGCCTCTTTTAACCTTTAGACCTTGGCCACAGGACTGTAATGTATAATTTCCTCAGCACAGACCTTTTGGAGTAGCACCATGAGGCTGGAAGTAGCATTATGAGGCAGGAAGAGTGGAGGAAGCGTTTGGGAGCCTGAGCTCCTAGAAACGCTGAAACTAGGGCGAACATCACCTGAGCCTGTGCAGCCTTTGGAACCTAGCTTAGCTCTGCGCATGCTCCAGTCTGGAACTTGGAAAAACACACAGTAAAAGCAGGTTTTTCATATACTCTGTTTAAAAAAATCAGAGACTCCTGACGAGCTGGCTGGAATTGCCAGGGGTTGAGTTTGGGGCCATTGCTGGGGAGATGCCTCGGCTCTACTCCAGGTCGGCCACCAGGTAGGGCTGGGTCTCCCTTAAGGCCTGGAGGAGCAAGTCTTTGCAGGTCTGGTTCCAGGCTGGAGCAAAGCTGAAGAGTTTCCTCATCTTCATTGGATTGGTGGTCTCCGCCCGCACTGCCTGGTACTGCTCCTCGCTCAGGACTTTCCCATACAGAGCATCCAGCACCCCATCTACGTCTGTAACCCGTGTGATGAGTGCTGCCCGGTGCTGGTCCAGGAAGTGCAGTGCTGGGGGTGGGAGGGAGGAGAACAACTGAACCAGCACCCAGGGTGGGCCTGTTCTTGCTGGACAGTTTGCTTCAGAAATTCCTCTGCAAACTTCAGCAGTGGGGCTCAAAGGGTGCAGTGGGATGAGTCTAACTGTGTCTCCCTTTTTCCTTCTGGGCAGGCTCTGTGCCCAGGGAGGAGTGTGAGTGGGTGGGTGGGCAGGGTCAGCCCAGCCTTGCTCTGGCTGTGGGACAACAGGTAGGCTGTGCAGGGGTGTGGTGGGGCTGGAGAGGGCCCAGGCAGGCAAGGTTGGGTGTGGAGGACTCACCTGGCTTTGCTGCTATCTGTGCAGGGGCCTTGATCCCAGCTGGTGCAGCTCCAGGGCCTGTAAGAAAAGAGTCAAGTGGTCCCCTTCCCTTCCTACCTTGCCTCCAGTCTCTCTGAAGTGGGCCATCCCCTTGGTCGGGATGCCAAGTTCAGGGGCAAGTGCAGGAAGCTTTGTTAGGAGAGGAGCTTTGTTTTAGAGGGTAGGAGGAACAGAAAGCGGAAGAAACTTGAGGGGCAAACTTTCTGGGGGAGGGAAAAAATTAGGGGTAGATGAGGGGACATGGGCGAGCTCACCCTTGAGCATCACCTCCTGTAGCTGCTTGGCCATCTCCTGCATGCCCATGTCGCGAAGCACGGCTGCCGTGAGCTCGGCGCCATACCCCTCCAGATAGAAGCTAACGAGCTTGTCGGTGAGGTCCACAGCATCCATGGGCAGCAGCGACCCCCGCGGGATACGCCCATAGCCGTCGCGCAGCGGTACCGACAGCAGCTTCAGCTTGAACTTTTTGAGCTCGTTGGCCGTCAGGTTCTCCAGCGCCTCCAGGATGGCGTCGCGCGCGCACCCCATGGCTCCGGGGTTCCCTGCCGCCGCCGCCTCTTACCCTGTCTGCCTGTGGCGGACCAGGAAGTCTGCTACGGGGCGGGTCCTGGGACTCCCCGCCTTCCCCCGACTCCCTCTCTAGACTCTGGGCCTCAGCCCGTTGCCCTCTAGCAACAGTCGCTCCCAACTTAACCCCTTAGTTCCCGCCTACCGAGGCCTCTGGACTTGGGTGGTCAGGGGATGGCAGGATTTCGTCCTCCAGCTGGTCTGCGAAGTCGGAACCTGAGACAGAACAGAGAGGGGCTCTTGGGTGGCACGTGCATCTCTGGGCTTGCACCAGCTAGCACAGACCAGGAACCTGGGCTTGCTCTCACTCGGTTTATTGGAATACCAAGGCTAGAATCTTGGAGTTCTAGAACCCTGAAACCTCCACATTTCCCTGAACCTTAGGATTCTCCCGTTCATGTCACAGAATCTTAGAATCATAACAGCTAGAAACATGAAGTTTCCCAAAATCCACAGACTGGGGAGAAATGAGGTTTAAAATGGGTGGAGGGTAACTGTGTGTGCTTTATCTCTCTGAGCCTCAGTTTCATTATCTGTAAACTGGGGATGTTAATATTCAGCCACTTAATATTCCAATATAACATGGGCAATCTGATGTCTCCTGAAACCTTGCCAGATGCTTTCTAGGAGTCAGAATTTGATCCCAGAAGCTGAATTTCTTATGAAGTGATGATAAGAGCCACTGGTTGAGGAAATTCTCAACTGGAGGGAAAATTATGGGTAGAGAGCCTGCTACTCTGGGCCCAGGGGGGTTGACCCAGAAGAGCAGGTGAAAGATGGTGTGGGGTGGCATTGGAGCCTGTACTGTGCCCGTAATCTTTAATTTGCTCTTAACATGGCTGGGAAGGCCAGTTGGTCTGGCCCCCGGGGCCTCCCTACCCTGGTCTTGCACCACACCCTGCTTTCTCTCCATCTCCAAGCTCCAGCCAGTATGGACTCTCAGTTCCTCAAACGTGCCAGGCTCCTTTGCTCTCCAAAGCTTTGCGCGTACACAATCGCTTTTCGGCTTTTTGGCTAAGATCAAGTGCAAACCTTTGTGCATGCTGTTCCCTCCACCTTGAAATCTCTTCCTCCTTTGCCTGGCAAATGCTTGAGACTTTAGGTCTCAAGTTAAATGTCACTTCTTCTGGGAGACCAGGCTTAGAGTCCTTCCCAGGCTAGTTCATAACACCTGCTACTTATCTGTAGCTCTCATAGCAATTGTAACTAATGCTGTGTGCTTGTTTAGCACCACTCTTCCCTGCCAGTCTGTAAATCAGGTCTGTCCAGATCATAGTTATATCCTTAGCATCCAGAATGGTGCCCAATACATATTTCTGGAATGAATACTGAATGAATGGGCCTTGTGGCTCAAGGGAGGATACTAGTAACTGGAAGGCGTGCCTTACATACAAGCTCTTCAAAGACAGTCAGCTTCCAGAATATAAAAGACCATGGACTTGAAGCCATACACCCCTTAGTTTGAATCCTGGTTTTACTTCCTAGGTAAGTATTGGGAATCCTTTAGTTTTTCTTCTCATCTGGGTTGTAACGATCACTGTTCCTTCTAGTGATATGACCCTGACTTACATTTATTTATTTATTGGGCATTCATCCCCCAACTAGAATGTGAGCTCCATGATGGTCAGGGACCTTGTCTGTCTTATTCATTATTGAATCTCCAGCATCAAGAAAGTACCTGGTACATAATAGGTGCTCAGTAAAGATTTGCCTAGTGAAGGAATGAATGAGGCTGTGATGCCTGCAGCATGTTGCCTTCTAGCTAGCAGGGCACTGCTCCCTATCCTTGTAGCACATTGCCCACACAGGCTGGGCAACATCCTCACCATGGGCAGCACTTACAGTGCAACAGCCAGTGTTTCTTGGCTCATGGCAGTTTGTTATCATTGCCTTCTCACTGGTCTTTGTTCTTCTAGAATCTCCAATTCATTTTGTGCACTATGGCCAGAAGGATACATCTTCCTAACCCACACATATGTGATCCTGCCTGTTCCCTGACAGCTCCTATGACTCCCCAGTGCCCTCAGACTCAAATCTAAGCTCCTTGGCTTGGACTTTGTGGTCCTTGTCAACCTCTTCCGCTGTGCCTTCCACCTTGCTGGCCTCTGAACCTCCGCATGTGCAGCACCTGCTCTCTGCTTGGCCTCTTTTCCCTCCTGGTCTACTGGGTGAATTCCTGCCTGTCCTCTGACACTCAGCAGGAGTCACCTTTTCTCAGAAACAATAGAAATAATTTGAGCCTTTCTTTAAGCTGTGATCTTTCACATGCATTCTTTTTTGGTTGTTTGTTTTTGGAGATAGAGTCTCACTTTGTCATCCTGGGAAGAGTTCAGTGGTGTCATTGTAGTTCACCACAACCTTAAACTCCTGGGCTCAAATGATCCTCTTGCCTCAGCCTCCCAAGTAGGTGGGACTACAGCCACGGGCCACAACGCCCAGCTAATTTTTCTATTTTTTGTAGAGACGGGTTTCACTCTTGCTCAGGCTGGTCTCTAACTCCTGCCCTCAAGCAATTCTCCTGCCCTCAAGCAATTCTCCTAGAGTGCTAGGATTATAGGTGTGAGCCACTGCGCCCAGAAACATGCATTATTTCTAAGTCTTAGAACAATCCCTTTGAGATAGGGAATAGTAGTCCCATTTTACAAATGAGAAGACAGGCTCAGAATGGGGAAGGATTTGCCCAAGATCACATCACTGAGGGTCATACTTCTTGTCTGTGTAGCTTCTGAACCAGTCCTGTGTACTCTTCTCTGTTGTCTTTCCTCTCCTTTCTGGGCAAAATAAATTATTCGTTGGCCATGTGCCCAGGATGTCCCTATGATGCCTCTACCATAGCGGCTGTCATATAACATGTCTGTTTATTTGACTTTTCCCATCAGATCAAGAGCTCCTTGAAGGCAGAAACCAGATCTTGACCTTCTCTGGTCCATAGTACCCAGCACAGAGCTTGGCACAGACCCAGCCTTGATAAGCATTTGTAGAATGACAAAAGAATCCTAGAATCTAGAATCCTAGAAATCTGCTCTTTTCACTTTGGTAGAATCTTAGAAGCTGTGGGTGTTTGACACATGGAATTTTTAAAACAGTTGCCTGATTGAATCCCTGCACAAAGCAGAGGTCCCCTTTGCCACATGGCCTTCTGACTGCATCTCTTTTGAACCCTTGTTTGGATTGGGTGACCTTTGCTTTAAGTAAAACTAACATGATACCTTTCAACTGAACCTTCAAGTAAAATTAACATGATACCTTTCAACTGAACCTTTGGGGCTGCAGGAAAATGCGCCTAGAGGAGTGTGTGTGGGTTGGGGGTGGGGGAAGAGAGGCCTAGGAGGAGCAGGTGGCTCCTGCTCACGTCCGGCTTCCTGGTGGTGAGGGAGGTGAGCATGGGAGTCATGTTGGTGTGAACTGTGCCCCTTCCCTCCTTGTTTCTGGGTATTGCCACCCAGGGTCCTTCTTTTTGGGCCCAGCTTACTCCTGGCATCTGACCCCGGTCAAATCCTACTGACACACACATTCAGACTGAGACACAGAAGGTCCTGGCTGTGATTATCACCTGGTACCACCTCAGAGCAAATGTTAGCACTCTGGTGAGATGTCACAGGGAGACAGGGACAAGGGGCTAGGAAAATACAGCCATTTCTCTCAAATAGGAATCAAATCATTTTGGGTTTGATACCACTCAACTCTTGCTATTCCCTATCTTCTGAATGTGTTTTGTAAGTTCTAGAGCATTCTGCAAATACAAGGAAGTTAATCTCATCATTACCATTAAATTGCCAGAATAATTTCCAAAAACCTGTAAGGTGGGAATAAACACACATACCTCATAGGGTTGTTGGAAGAATTAAATGAAATTATGCATATTAAGTGCTTAACACAGTGTCTGGAAAATAGTAAGATTCAAAAATGGAAGCTTAATAATAAGAGTAATTATCATGGGGTTGGGAATCTAGTAGAATGCTCTGGAACTTACTACATCCTTTTAGAATAAAACAGAGTCTCCAAAAACTTTGTTCCCTGCTGAGTTCAGAATTTGCAGTGTGTTCTTAGAGTACGTTCACCTGCCAAAAGGGGCCACTTGTTCTCACTGAGCTCCAACCTAAAACTGCTGCAGGAGTGAGGCTTCCAGTTTTTTGAGAAACTGTTTTTTGGAAATTACCCTGAAACCCTATGGTGCTAGTAAATAATGAAACACAGATTAAAGCTGCGCGCATCTGACTTCTAGGCCCAAATGCCAAACAACATTTCAAAAGTCCCACTCTCTGTCTTCAAAAATTGACAAGTTGCTTGGAGATATTATGTGTATAGGAAATAAATATATGCTTCTTCCAGACTGTCTGGAAACACCATTAGGAAGGCAGACGTTGCAATAATGGTAATGATGATACTAACTTCCTTCTATTTGCAGAATGCTCTAGAACTTACAAAACACATTCAGAAGATAGGGAATAGTGGAAAAGCAGGAGTCGAATGGTGTCAGACCCAATATAATTTGATTCCCAGACCCTCTGTCTCCTGGCTGTGTGACTTAGGGAAGTCACAGCCCCTCTCGGGGTCTGGAACCTGTGTTGATGTGCTCACCTCATCAGTCCATAGCAAAGTCAGTGCTCTGAGTCAGGATTGAACCTGGTAATGATAGTCACTGCTGCCCAAGCCCTTGGGTGCCAGCACACTTCCCTGTTTATTTGGCATATTTTTCTAGTTTAATCCTCATGACAACCCTACAGGGATGGCATTATTATCCTACTTATCCTTATGTTGTAGCTGAAGATGTTGAAGCCCAGAGAGGTAGGTGATTTTCCTGGGGATTCCCAGCATGAACTTGTCATGACAGCATGTGGGACCTGCTTCTATAGCAGCCCCGAGTTGGGGGTTTCTGGCCTCTCTCTGCATATATCCAATAACAAGGAGCACTCACCTTTCAAGGCACTTATACCTCTAGTTGTTGAGAAGCTCTCCCTTGGGAGAAGCTGAAATCTGTCCCTTGTGAG